CGATTCGATTTCGTGCCGCGGGCAACGAATTTCCGGCGCATCTAATTTCGCATCGAATATTAAATTATAGCCGTTTTAAGACGCCATTGTATCGCCCGGCATTTATTTTTATAACTCCAGCATTTATTTTTATAACTCCTTTCCAAAATAGACGGATGCACGGTTTGTCTGCAATCTGTTCAACGATCTTTTTAACCTTCTGGCCTATCATTAGAGAAGAAATCCGAAAGGCGGCATTTTTAATAGCAAACCGCTGCAAAATCTTGCTCGCACACCTAAGTAAATTGTAGATTTCGCAGCTTCTTAGAATTCGGATTAGAACGTAATCGGGAAATAATAGCTTTTAATTTTCAAAGTTCATTATTAGAGTCGAGTCCTTGATTAAAGAAACATCGAATACCTATATATTCGATCAGTACGAAAAAGTGCCGTGTCATATCTTAACCCAGAATCGTTTAAACGTAAACTTTACTACGCAATCGGCAGAAAAAAGCGTTAAGATAATTGCATCGTGCAGTATTAGGAAATCAATGAACATTTCGAGATAACGTTTGCGTCGTGTTCTAACGTTTACTGCCGCATTCAGGAATTTCCTGCATGTCAGAAAATTCTTTTACGGCACCTTTTCCGCGAGGTAGGAAACCGGATACGATTAATCCGGACTCGTCGGGCCCCGATGATATTATGGCTGATAATTGGTCGTTCAGGGATCTCTCGAGAGCTGGACGGCAAGAGAGAGAGAGCAAAAACAGCGGAGGACGAAACGGACTAAGGGAAGAGAAAGAGAGAGAGAGAGGGAGGGAAAGGAGGGAGGCAACTAGCGAGATAACACGGAGCGCAACTTCGCTCGGCTAACCCATAACTAAGCCGCGCCTTATTTAAGGCATTATAAGGATTCTAATTAATACAATGTAGGGTAGGCGAGATTTTTTTTTACGAGGCCACGGGGTTTTATCGCCAATTAAGAGAGCGCCGCGGAGAAGATTGGCGGAAGGGAAGAAAGAAACACGCGAGTCAGCCAGAAACTACACTGGAATGAGAGTGGAAAAAACGGAAATAGTAAGAGCGACCAGCGGGAAGAGCGGAATACAAAGACACGTCTAACATTCGTGTGCGCGACGAGCCCCACACGACTTCGATTTTGCTCTTGTTGGCTCGGCATTTAGCTCTCTAAATAAGGCCGTCTAATTCCAAGGCTATGTTTATATCAAACGTTCATTGTACCTGAAAGCTCAGAATTCACGTGGTCTTTAACTTAGCACTTCGCGCGAATACCAGTCATTATTTTTATCGCGTTCACCTACATTTTGCGGTAATTGCCGAAGCGACAAAAAATCGCAGATTCGGGACAACGTGTCGAAACGACGGAACAACGTGTGCGCACGGCGTTTAAATTGTTCCGAGATCAAACGGAGACGATGTTGAAAGACTCGCACTTGCTATTTCTTTCTTCGCATCGATAGGCGCGTTGCGGCTAATCTGAACAAATTGCTTTATCGTCTCATTCTCAATGCGGAAATAAAACGGGCTTTAGAGCGGTATCCGCTCTTTTCGCTGCTAGAGATAAAGGAGATCCGCTACCGGGCTTCAGTAATGGAGTTACACTGATATTACATTTTCGATTAAAACGGAGGCATAAAATGCGGAGTGCGCGCACACGCGCGGAGAAGTGTATTGGGATATACGAGGCAGCGCGAGCTCCATTACAGCGCGCTACGCAGTAATATTACATGAATTCAATGGGCACGCCTGCAGATATCGACTTCGGCGGCGAGGGGCGGGAGGGGAGCGCGCGAGGGCACAGCAGTTTTATTTTACATGCCATTTCGCGACGCGATCGCGACTCGCCCCGTCGTCCTGGAGCATCCTGAAGCGTCTAGCTACTGAAATAAATAAACGTGCCGCGAAAGAGCCGTTTCAAAGGCGAGCCATATCGATTCCGCGTCGCGTCCAAAAAGAAACATCCGGCGGAATTTAATCCACTTTCCGCCGCGCTGCGCCTCGCCTCCCCCGCACCTTGCAGCCCTCCCGCGTCCCACGCCGCGTCCCGCGCCGCGTTACGCTTCTCTAATCGAAGCCTCGCCGATATTCCATCGTGGAATTGATTTTCTTCTCATCTGAATATCATTCGCCGCCGAGACGCGATCGTGGCCGCGCGCGGCGGATAATCACAGAGTTATGCCGTAACACCTCGCAGGCATCCTCCGTGCTGTACAGCACGTGCATTGTGCGCGGCGGAGCACGGGAAACGTTCAACCTGCCCGCGCCGCGAACTTAACGTACAGCAGCACATGTGTACCACGCTGCATGCACGCCTGGCATCGCTGCTGCTATCGTTGCAGCTGCACTCGCGTTCGGAAATTTCATAATAGCGTTGATGTACTGACGTATTGATGTAAACAATTTAATTCCTTTCACTCTTTGCGTACAATGCACGTGATGCGATTCCATTCTCGCCCTTTAATTAGCCTTATTTTCGCAAATATTTAAATTCAGTCGGAATAAGAAATTTGGCAGTCGTGACAATTAAAAAAGCCGTCTAAACGGTAAATTTTAAGTATGTAATATATTACAAAAATAATATAAATTTAATATCATCGGAATAAATAAAAATATATGAACATAAAATTGGCTGAGATGGACATTTAATTTGATCTGAGAGAATTCGTACACAATTTATATAGAACACGCCGTCATAAAACACATATAGCAGTTTCGCGATTGATATGAACGGATATAAAATTTTGAGCACAAATATGTACGTCGCGATACCATTTATGAGCGCAACATCGTGACGAATGGCGAGAGCGAAAGAAAAGAAACGAAGAGACGGGGAGAGGCGGATAAGGGAGGAGAGAACTTGTCGATCATTTCAATAGTTACTCGTTCGAAGTACATTCTCTTCGAGACACGAAAAACCTTTCTCCTCAACCCTCGCGAGCCAGCATCGCGAATTTATCCACATTGAGGGGATACGCAAAGGCGGAAAAGAGAGGTAACGCGTTAGAAAATGTGATATTTTGTTGCGATGTGAATGGCCACTCGAATGTATGCGAGAAAAAGGTATTCTCTGAGTACGCGAAGAAGAAGATGAAGAACATAGGTTATCATAAAACGATAATCTTGGAGAGCAAAATGTTGGAAAAATATCAGACTCGCACTAACGTTGATAAATGACACGATATTTTTCAATATACTCGACATTTTAGTGTTTTACGTAACTTCATAAAAGATCATTACAAAAGACACCGCAATTTAGCTTTACACCGCAGACGGTTTAAAATCTATCAAACATTGCAAAGAAAACTCTAAAACGGGAAAGATAATAAAATGCAGAATTTTGAAAAAAAATTTTAATTTAGTAAATTTAAAAATAGCAAACCATATTGTTAAATTCTCAGACAACTAATGGAATTTGCACATTATTGAAAAATCGTGTAAAAAAATATTTAAGTGCATTAAAGATATTAAAAATGAAATCATTTACGAAAGTACCGGGGCGAGTCAGAAATTATCCGCAACGTGAGAATTGTGTTTTGAAAAAATTGCGGATAATTTCCGACTCATCCTCGTACAGAACATATTTCTGCACTACAAACTAACACCCTTGTTACTACATCCCGCGCATCCTTCGGAAGGCACGTAAAGTAACGACCGCGCGCTGCAGACGCCGGCAGACTCGGAATTACGTCCCGACAGCAACTATCGGGAGGAACAACATTGTCCTTCGATAATACATCCTCCGCGGCATTTTTAAGACGACCGTAAAACAGCGTTGTAGTTACGGCCATCTAACCGCACATATTGCCCATCCGCGTGCGTCCGCGCGCGCGTACTTGAGGCACTTCTAGCAACGGGCGCTCGTCCATCCCGACCGATGGAGAGTGCATAAATAACCGGGCAATCGTGGGTGACGAGTTTTCGCGTCGACGACCTTAAATCTCTCCGCGCGCTCCGAAGTGACGCCTGGTAATGCCGGGGTTCCATCAGCGCGTCCATGTGGGTCGGCCGCGCATCCCGGGGCCCCGCCGGGGCGGTCCGTGGCGTTCGAATTGCCGCGAGAGACGACGCAACGTCGGTGTTACGGTCCCGCATTGGCAGGCGTTTGAAATACACTCGGCTGAATTATGAACCGTAAAACACGGTGCGGCGACGACGGCGGTGAACGCCGCGCGCCAATAGACTCACCGGGGCTTTAACCTGCGCCTTGGTGAACCGTATTCATCCCTCGCGAAGGGTCATTATCGATGCGCGCGCGCGCGCGCGCCCGACTGCTCGGTGTGGTCTGCGGTCCCGAGCGGACCGCGGCCGGGATGCCTGAGCAACGAATTTCGCGCGAGAGTTTAAAAAGAACGAGAGGCGAAAAAGGAACGAAGCGGAGATCGAGGCAACGGTAATGCACGACGACGAGGGCTTGTTCCGCGCGCAAGCGGAATCGAGCGGTGGCCACGCGTCTCGTTAACCCGTCAATTACTCACGTCGAGCGTACGATTAAGAATGCCCTTCAAGTTGTATCAATTTTAGACGACTCAAGGCGTGCACATCCCGTATAGATATTTGTTTGCATTATGATTGATAATCTAAAGTCCAAAATTATACTTTCATTGATTTATTACACTTATTAATTAATTTTTTCATTTACATTTGATCTTTCTCATTTGTCAGAAATGCTTGTAAACGTCAAATCGTAAGACACAATTCTGAGATATGTTGCGTGAATATTTAAACGTAATGCGCACGTGTCGAATTGTCTAAAATTGATGTACTTTATACGAGAAACCATTTCTAATTGACAATGTACAATTCTTGACTTTTGATATTTTGTAAGTTGACTGATAGAAATTTTTAATCTTCCGAGCGTTTATGTCTTTAAATTGATTGTTATCTCAGCTATATGAGACTTGTTATTTCAGCTATATGAAAAAACGCATATTCCACGAACATAATCCGTAAGAAATCAATACAGAGAACATGTGTAATATATTATAAAATTCACTCACCAGTCTTGCTATTGCAATCCGTTGGCTGCGCTGTTGCCCCAAACACTTATACGGCATTAATCATCCTTCACGATGCGACCGATTTATATGGCATTACTGAAATTCCAAAATAATTGTAATTGTTACAAACGTAAAAAACAATACTGCTTAAATCTCGGCAACAACGTTTATGATTAAATATACTTGTGTATATTTGTGTAAAATTTAAAACAGTGGATTATAAAACATAGAAGAGCCTTAACTATCAATTGCAGAATATTTATTTATCTGTGAGTAATATTTATATATATATCTTTAACTCGCGGCGATTAAATTAGTTAGTCTATTTAAAAATAATAATAAATTTAATGAGTTAAATGGCAAGTTGTACAGCAAAGCCCGGGAACAATTAGCACGCGATAATAATAGGTATATTTATCAATGCCGAAGCAGCGAGACAATAGCACATTGTTGCAATCATCGTCGTTCGCGCTATATCAAAGGGCATTTCGTCCACGTGTTTCTTCCACTGTTTCCGGCAGAGAGATCCACCTGCCTTCGAGCCAGGCCAGGACACCTGTCGTTTCTCAGACAACCCCCGCGGACAAATTTCTCTCTCTTTTACTCTATAGAACAAGCGAGTGCACATCTGTGTATGCGCAACGTGCTCTTCGAACTTGCATCGTCGTGCAAGGACGATATGTCGCACGTTAAAAATTTTATTTCATCCTCCCCTTAGTTTTCCTTGCCATGTCGCCAATGCACTTCGGCAGAAATAAATTGTATGTACATTAAATCAATAATAAAACCAAAAATTAAACATCGAGCACAATGTCAGACAGAAATAAAGCATCAATTCTAAATCATATCACAGACATATGAGCGCTATGCATTTCAATATTACGCTTATCTAAAAATGTTTTAATTATATTCAACATCATTGTTTGTACGATAAAATCAGACTCCATAAAAAAGATTGCGTTCCGGAGATAAAGCAGCGATCAAAATGACTTCTCTCTTCGGCTTCCCGGAGAACTCGGAGCGCGCGTAGCGCGCTACTCTAAGCGCGCCGTCCACAATAGCGAATCGTGTCAAATACACTTCATAAGAAAAGCATAGTGGCCAGAAGAAGGGGCGGAAGAAGAAGAAGAAGAAGAACAAGAAGCGGGGAAGGGAATAAGGAGAAAAAGCCGGCAAACCGACGGCGACGCGACGCGACGCGACTCGTGGATACGCGAGAAGCAGAGTCCGGGGGAGAAGGAAGAGAAGGAGATGGACATTAGCGTAATGACGTCCGGAGAGTGAGGCGTAATGACACCAGGGTCATCGGGCGATGCTGCAGCGTGCGGATCATTCGCCGAGGTCGTGATGACGAGGTCGTTCCCTCCACCCGAGAGAGCCAGCTCCACCATCGCCACTT